CGCTATATGCCTTCGCTATATAGCCGGCGCATTAAATTACTTTAACAAAAAAACGTCCCTTTTTGTACTTATTTTATAACCCTTCATTCCACATCCATCAGGTTTCCCCACCCTAAAACCACCAATTCCCACTCTTCCCGTAAGCCAGAGACCTCCGCATTTTTTCATATCAAGCCACTACCAAGGAAACTCCTGCCAAATTTTCTTTCTTCGAAGTTTAGTCTGGATGTCGTTATTGTGTTCAGCGATTGAATCTGCATAATAAACACAAACAGTATAGTAATTGACTATTTACAATTATTTTAAATATAATCACAATGCAGTTGAAAGACAATACAATAATGCTTGCAAATATTTTTACTTTTTTAAATCATGAACTTATAATAAACACCGAGTTTACGATTATTTTAAATGTGTATACATTTTTGGGACACCCTGTTTCCAATCTTGTCCAACAGCTTCACGTGGGAATGTTTTCCTGCGATTCCCGAGGGGCTTTCCCCCATGCTCTGTTCTTTGTGTCCTTGTCTTTTTTGATGTGCTAATGCCTCTGCGATCGCTTATTTGATCCTTGCCTAGATCCGAGGCAGAGATGAATGGTGGCATGATGCTGACGCCCAGTCCCTTCGATCCATCCCTGGAGGGTTCTGCACGCATTTCCACAGGGCATTCTTCGCTCGCCATTTGGCTCTCCGAACTGGGCCTGCCTTTGTCGGAAATTGAAAAGGTAGGATTGCCTATCGAATATTTGGGCCCCCTATATATATATATATCCTCTGCCTTCTGTGTTTTCCCGAATATGTGCTTGATCTTGTGTGGGCCGCGTGGGGGTAGATGGGTCGTACCATAATATACTAGTCACTGGTCTTTGTACTTATGGTTACTGGAATTAGCCCTTTAGCAAAGGCACGTACTTATAGCAGCAGTATCCTAATCCTCGTAGTCCAACTCCTAGCAGAAACGGACACATCCTGGAGGGATAGAGCTGAGAGGGCGGAAACCAAGGCAAGTCCTGATGTTTTCAGGGCCTCAGACATATATTTACTCAAAATAATATAGTCCCAGATTTCACACTCCTTGTTGAGAACAAAGGGGTATGAGCCCCCGCATTAATTTCAAATCAGCGTCAGAAATAGTACCAGTACTACTTAGGCTCAGCTACATTGATATTCAGTAGTCATGGAAATAGCAGTAATAACCGTATCAGCCTCGGCCTCCTTGAGCTGGTCTTTACACCTACTAAGGGTGAGTGAGGGTAGGTAGTGTGGTAGTACCCGCGCAAAATCTACTGTCACTCAAGACTAAGTCAGGCAGTGTTTCTGGCTTGCACTGGAGAATGCGGCCAACGCCGCGTTCCTTTTGGTCTTCTTGACCCCGGGAGAAGGTGAAGAGTGCGGTTGGCGCTAACTACGTCCGCTACCACTATAATCTACCCCCTGAAGCTGTCACCTTCTGTACCAACCTGTTGGTGCGCTTGGTGGATTCCATCGAAATCGATGGTCGAAGACACAAACAGATGGGTCGGACCAACACGGGGACTTGATCTATGCATGATAGGCATTATATTCGGCTCGCACTCCCATAACGCCGCCTCCGCCCGATCCGGCCTCTGATCTCTGTCTTGACAGGTGGTTGAGGAAAGAGAGAGAGTGTGTGTGGTAGATGGATGTTAAGCACACGATGGATCTCGTCGGACTTCCATGATCAAACTGTCGTCATCTCTGATATTGCTTTCTGTTTGGTGTTCAAATATACTC